CCATAGCTTTTTAATATCATCAGTATGTGAGTGGGCATACTCAGAAGCAGACACATTAAAGATATGTCTACATTATAGTCTCCAGATGCGGTTACAGTTCACAAAGATATGCGATAGATAACTTACGTTCTGCTGAATTGCTTGCTAACAAGCTACATTTGGCCATCAAACCTTGAGTAAGTACTCAGAAGCTAAAATCTGGGTTGTTGCAGCTAATGCTTTTATCTGTGACCAATATAGCTAATTTGTTGCAGCTTTCACTTGCCATACTACCATAGCAACTGAGGACTTTTGGCATCTCCAAGCTTAAGTAGCAGTTATGTTGGAGGATGTGGGGGTTACTGTTTTGAACGTGGATGTTGAGCTGTGCCCAGGTGCCGCTTCAGGTTCCTAATTCTTTTGTGGACATATCCCTTAGTGCCAGATAGGTGTTCCCATTATATTCAGCACTCTTGCCTTACTCCTGGGAGTGTTCACTTGCTAATGAACTTGTGATGGATTCCTGCGGTAGCTGCTAATTTGGGATATCCAAATTCATACACGTGATGGAAGAAAATAATACTGGAGCAGGTAGGCTCCATTTCCATATGTATAATGTAGAGGGCAGAAACAAAGTAAAATTGAAGGCTCAGCGAGAGATTTATGTAAATGTAAAATGAAAAAAAAATGCATGTTTACAATCCTTTAGATAGAAGAAATAAATGAACAAATAAGGCGAGAGAAAGAAGAGGCAGAGGCTCGTATGCGCCAAGCAACAAAGAGTTCAGAGAAGTCAACCAGCGGTGGTGGAGGGGGAAGTAAAAACTGGCCAGAAGATGATTTACAGTTGTTAATTAAAGCTGTGAACCTCTTCCCAGCAGGGACTAACTCAAGGTACTTCTTGTTTTCAGTGTTAAAAGCCCTACTAAGAGTTTTTAATTAAATAACAAACACAGTACAACTTACTTTCAGGCCTCCTGACGTAGGACTGGCAGTAGAACTCCCTAGATTTCCTTTGCCTTGGCTGTTGAGCAGCCTGCGGTTTGTTTTCTCTTGGTAACGTGCACTGCCTGTGACTGGCAATAGCCCTGGCCCTAGATCTTGTTTCCACCCTGAACTTTGGCCTCAGTCCATCAGCGAGACTGTGCCTCAGCACAGCCTGCACCAACCTGACTGCCAGGTAGGCTCCAGTCATTAAAGCATAGCTGGAACAGCGACCGTGATCCAACTGGGTAGGAACACGGTGCACTAGCTACTCTGTGTCTCTGCACCAGCTCCACAGTGAACGTGAGGTTGGTTTCTCTTCTACGTGATAGGAGGAAAACATCCAGAGATGTCACTTAAGTGCCCCGGCTCTCTTGTAGGAGAGAGCCAGGGAAGAGAGAAAGGCTGGGATTCACAGAAAGCAGCATGGGTGATCAGCTTAGTAATAAACATTAAGGGCAGGAGTGTACCTTAAATCTTGCTCCTTCCTGGGGTGAAATGCTTTTTTTCCTTTCACTTAGGATTCACAGACTTAAAGCCTCTATTAAAGTACTAAAATCTTGTTTTTTTAAAAAAAAAAAAAGGTCATACTCTTCCTAGATGATAGAAGTGATATCAGTACCTGTTTCTGCGCTGCAGCTCAGCAGTCAAAGTACTCTTCTAGGACAGAGGCCTAGTTAAGATTCTCCTATCTGAGCAGATGCAAATCTTCCCTCTCCATTTTCTAAGCGTACTAGGAATAATTCTGGGACTAGGGGTATTCCAGCGCTCTCCTGTTGAAGCCCCTTCACCTGATGTACAGGTAGTCTTTTGGGGGCAGTGGAAGCAGGTTTCCCATCTGCTCAGCCCCTTCAGTGCAACAGCAGTATTTCATGTCATAGGTGCTTAAAGTAAGGTTAGCAACAGCTGAGCAGAGTTTTGAGCATTTCAGTTTTGTACTTAGGCACCTACATTCTGCCCCCTCCTTTTTCTGTATCAGAACCCAAGAGGTTCACCCAACTTACTTGCAAGAATTTCCCTTAAGAATTCAGTCATTGTGACCAAAACTTCAGACATAAATAATCTCGTCTGCTTTCCAAAGTAGTTAACGTGAGACGTTGTATATATTTAAGTGTGATTCTGCTTACTTAGAACTTGGCATAAATATGTTCAGCTGTGTGCAGAAGCTTGAGTGGAGCTTGTAAGAAGATCGCCTGTTCTGTAATATGCTGTTTTCCCCTTTGTATTCTTGCTTTAGGTGGGAGGTTATTGCCAATTATATGAACTTGCACTCTACTACTGGAATAAAACGAACAGCTAAAGATGTCATCAATAAAGCAAAGAGCCTCCAAAAACTTGGTATCTTTATCAGCTTATTTTTGTAATAAGATGGTCTGTAATAAGAAAGCCTTCTATGTGGCTTTTTTTTTCTTTGAACAGCATTTTGTTTCTATTACAAGAAAAAGTTCCATGTATCCCAAGAAGAAATGTAGCCCATATGAAAGATTTAGATGAGTATTTCTGTGACCCAGTTTTTTCAGCCATGAAATATTAGTAGTTATGTTGCAAGTCATCACCTGATGAGTGAATCTCAGGCATTCTTTTAATCTGACTTGCTGCCTAGATAAATATCTAGGCCAAGTTCATTGCCTGGGCTCCTCTACACTCAAGAGTGAGACAAACTGGCCTCTGGAAAAGCTCTCTACTAAGGACAGCATCTAAAATAAATGGAACTGATGAATCTTATAGAGGTACTTTTCAAAAGATGAGTGGGACACTTTAATCAGTGTGGCTCATCTCCCCCTGTAGTAAAGGCAGTCTAGAGAGCTGGGACGCTGAGAAGAGGCTCTGAAGTAAGTTCTCAAGAAAAATTAAAAACATTCTACTGCAGGGAAAAAAAGTTTTCAAGAAGTCTCTCCATTCCAAACCACACAGCTGCCCAAGGAAGAGCTGGACTTTCCTGACGTTCCTGACTACCCCTCTACCACCCGGGTAGTCTGGATAATGCAAGAGTTTTGTGCCACAGCCCTTACTTGAAAGAATAATCCCTTTTGATTTCACTGAAGTTGCAGATTCAGGCTTAAGATGACATGGAGAAAGTATTCCTTTGAGCAATACGAAGAAGGATAGGGATTGGCGAGCCTAACACTTAGCCAGTTTTATTGGCCCCAAAAGATTTTTAGCCTCTTGAATATGTTTTTTGATTGTGTGAATATTAGTTTTAGGATAATCTGCTACACACTGTATTTATTATTACATATGGCTTTAATTTTGTTGCAATAGTTATTCTATTAAATGTCTGTTGCTTATAGACCCTCATCAAAAAGATGATATAAACAAGAAAGCATTTGACAAATTCAAAAAAGAGCATGGTGTCGTGCCTCAGATGGACAGTGCTGCCCCCTCAGAACGATTTGAAGGTAAGGATGAAAACGGAGCCCTTCACGCAGAGTTCTGTCCTCTGGTCATAGTGTAAGTCTAAGTAAGGATTAGTTTTTTTACTTAGAAACAGACCTACTAGCTTACAAACTTAGATAGGTATTAAGTGATCCAAACTCTGTTGGATTTCTTTGAGTGTTTCTGGCGCGCACAGTACAGCCCCAGGTTAATTAAGCAGTTAGTTACTGATGGTTTGGAACACTTTCCAGGTGGGGCAGTAGGTAAGCCTGATGCACACTTCTGGGGTACTTCTTCCTCAAGCTCTTCCATTCCTCAGAGGGAGCTATGTTGTCAGGGAGGAATAGGCCTGAGGGGATGCATTAGAGATACAGGGTTGTGCTTCAACTAAGCTTTGCTTTCCTGTTATACTCCAGACGCTTCTCATTAAACTTTCCAGACGCACTCAGAAGGCTAAGTATTCCCTTACTGAAAGGCAAAGGCGAAGCAGCGCTGGTGCCCTAAGGATGAGGTCTCACAGGGCAGCTAAGGTGATTGAACACCTGGCTGCCACAAGACCTCCCTGCTTCTCTGTGCTGTATTTAAAGATCCAAGGGCCACTTGGCTAGTCAGGTTCAGATTTTTTCCCCTTCAGGATTTCAGGACTGGCTTGCCCTTACATTGTCAGATTAATTGTATCACAAAACTGCACCCTAAGGATGCTTTACACTACAACTGTAATTTTTACTACATGTCCTTAAGCTCCTCTTGGGATGCCTTATTAAATGTGTTGTTTCTTACTGTCATTTTTGCATTTAAAAACAGGATCACCTTTAGATTCATCCCCTTGGACCACAGAAGAACAAAAGCTTTTAGAACAGGCACTGAAGACTTATCCAGTAAATACACCTGAAAGATGGGAGAAAATAGCAGCAGCTGTCCCAGGCCGATCAAAAAAAGACTGCATGAAGCGATACAAGGTAAGACTCCTCACCTCCTTCTAGGACTGTAATTAGCCCAGCTTTTGTTAGAACCCAGTGCTTTTACTGTTGCTATCCCTATCACAAACAGCATCCTCCAGTGTAAGGTGGAGCCGTTTGGGACGATACTTTTTGGATACGACACTTAATACAAAAAGAGCCGTTAAGAATTTTCACATATTCTCAGTGAAATTAGTGAATCTGGGAGCTAGTGAGTAGAGTCTGCCTCTTGAAAATTTTCTCGCAGTTTCACCGTAACGTCTTATAGATGGTAAAGTCCTATCCCTAGCCTCTTGTTATAGGTAAGGTTCTTATTACAGGGGAAGTAGATAAGCATTTACCCTTAACAGGATGTCAGTTTTCATTTATTTGTTTCTAGGAGAAATAGCTTTAAGTTATTAAAACTGTGTAGGTTCCTCACTCTGTCCAGAGTGAGAGTGTTTCACGCTGAATACCTGTTGCATTCAAAATTAGAGCAGAGTTAACTGGTAGACATTAGATCAGTGTTTTTGTTTTGTTTCGTTTCCCAAACCCTCCAGGAACTTGTTGAAATGGTCAAGGCAAAGAAAGCTGCTCAAGAACAAGTGATGAATGCTACTAAAGTCAAGAAATGACTTTTACTGACAATCTTTTGTTTTATAATAAAAATGCAAATACTGTACATGTTTTCATTCTTTCCTTAATTATACAGATACACAGGACTGTGTGGTGTTTGAGTTTAATCTTCTCAAATGCGCTTCTGTAAGTCAAAAACTGTTGAACAGGAGTGAGTTTGTTTTTAAAACTTTAACATACTGAAAACTTTTTATTCACTAAACACGAAGCCAATACATGCCATTGCAGATTTTGTTATACTCTGGAAGTTGTTCAACTGGACCTGGAAGTTAAAGAAAGTCAGCCATGACACATGCTAAACTGATAGAGAATGGTGTGAAGTTATGGGAGGGTAGGGGAACTTGTACAACATACCTACAGCAGCGATTGCAGGATGCTTATCATAGATGTACTTTGTGCAAACTTCTCTAAGAGTCTGGGCATCGATAGCCTAAAAGGGTTAAAGAGATATTTTTGTTACCCATCCTGGCTGAAAAAGTATTAAGAGCTACTGCTCTGAGTTTTGTATAATCCAGAAGTACAGGCAACAGTAGTTGAAATGTTCTCCTTGGGAAACAGTCTAATCTCTGTACTGTCATTTTCTGTAAGAGTTTAACTGCTACAGTAAGGGCATAACTTAAAAATCCTAACAGAAGCACCACTTACTTCAATTCTTGCCTCAAGTTCTGGAATTGGTATTCTGCGCTTATAACACAGCATCTGTCTTCCAATGTCTTCACATATTGGTGTGGACCCTAAAAAAAGTGGGAAAATGCTTCAGTTATCAGTATACGCTCACAGTAAGAATAAAACAGTTCCACTTAAGTCTCACCATCAAGTTGTAGCAGCATATTTGTCTTTAGAAGGTTTTTGGCTCGAGCCACTTCATTTTCTGTAACGCTTGTGCAAAGTCTTATCCTGAAAAATAGTTTAAATCCACAACGGCATTAAATAACGCTAACCTGTAGCACACAAGATTGCCTCTGATACAGACATGCACATACCTACCCAGGCAAGTCTTTTCTACAGACTGCAATAAAAGTGCTTGACAGGGAAACAAGCCATAGTATTATAGAAGCAGCATAAAAGTAGAGTTTTTGGAAACATCCCACTATTCAGCCAAAGAACAAGTTTTTCTCCTTAGAAGAGCTGTATTTCATTTAAGATATTCTGAGGGAAGTACAGTCTGTATACTTGCTATCTGGATAGTGGCTGTTGGTAAAATAGGAGCCAAACAATTATAGGTAATTAACCCAGAGGCAATCTATTACTTCCTGGCTCTTGGTGAGGTAGTGAACTGTATAAACTACATCACGCGGTAGGAGAGAAGACTTTACTAGAAGGACAGAGGGATGCATTAAATATTTGAATGAATTCTAGTCACGAGAATGATTCACATTTTCTCCACTGCCATATTTCCCCAAGAGTAGTTCACAGAGATCTCATGGAATAATTGTATAGGAAAAGTGAGCCATATGTTTAAAGAAACTCATTTTCAAGTTTTCTTTCAACTTCATTCACTTCAATGACTTTTAAGACCCTTAGAGGATTTCCCATGTTTCCAGTTACATTACATCTGCAGTTCAAGCATCAGAGCTATACCTATGCACATCCTCTCAATTTGGATGAACGGTAGCTAAATGAGTCCCAAGTTTCAAAATTCCTCAAACAACAGCTCATCTACCTTACATGATTTCATTTTCCTACGTACTCACTAGAGCTCTCTGTAACACCACCAAATGAAGAGCTTGTATGTCACGCAGGATAGCAACTGCAGAATGGGTGACTAGTAACAGGATTTGAAGGTAACTGCACATTTATTACTCAGAACGTGTACGCTTTCAGTCGTCTGACATGCAGTTCATGGGTGCTGTATACTGACTTTGTATGCTAAAAGGTCTGACCAACATTTCTGTAACTGCTGTCACTTGAAACTCAGAAGAAGTCACTGCCATGTTTTCTTGTGCTAGGAGCCCTATAACGTTAACCGTAGTTAGTTAGGGGGGAGCTAGACCTCTTAACAGTTCACTCTGAAGTAAGGCTGCCAGAAACTGGCTGCTGGGACCATACAGCCTGAATATCAAAGTTCAGCACTTCATTCATTCGTTTTTTCCAGGCAGGTCTAAACAGAAAAACAAGAGTAGTCTCTTGAGTATTCTCTCAGTGGAGCATTCCTCCACTAAAAACCAGGTTTTTCAGCGAAACAGTTGCGTACTTACCATTCCCTCTGAACAAAGTGCACCATGTCCTGTATAGTGGATGGCTCACAAACCATATAGAGTCCCCACAACCCTGTGTCAGTGTAGCAGGTGTTGAAGGATTGGAAGCTATGACACAGGTTACCGTGGCAGGCAATCTGAGCAAGTTTACTAGATAAATTCTGCTGAGGCAAGAGGGAAAAAAAAAGCGTTTCATAAAGTTTTCTGAAAGCCTACTAGTTTCCTCCATGGCCCACTGTTTTCATTTCAGTGGTAACGGAACAGGCAATAGTATCACAGGCTCCAGAGGATGCTACAAGGCTAAGCATCAGCTCTTTTACCTCAGACAGCATCTTACCTTGCATGTAATCTCACACTTCCAGCCAACAGCCTAGATTTATGTCAGACTATAAACAAAATCATAAAGCTACGTAGGTTCAGGAGAGGTAACGGTTACTGATACCCCCAGCTTCTCATGGCGTACAGGTATGAAACATTCCACTTGGCATGGGGGTTGGTAGACCCCAACTCACCCCCATTTCGGTGGCTTTTGCACCACTCGTTAAGATTTTCCTAGATCTTGGGCAACAACTTCTCTCAGACTCCCAGTTGGTTTCCCTTCTCTCACTCCAAAAAAGACCCTTCAGGACTAGCCATACAGCAACAGTAGCACCATCAGAGATGTTTGAATAGGTCCGTACTGGCAGTACCCAAGTTGGACAAGTCTCACCGATCAGTCAGGCTCATTAAAACCAGGAAGGTGCACGCAGGGTCACTCACCACGCCTCCTCCGAAGGAACGATCCCAGTTACCTATCAGAGTATTTGCCACCATAAGGGGGATCGTATCTGGGTGAGCCCAGCCAGCTGCTTCGACAGCTATTGCAATGTGTGCCAACGGCATCTTGTCATCTCTTATACGAATCTGTGGGAGCACATGAAAGTAGCTGTAGTACAACCTACACGCAGCCATATACATGGGAAGTTAAATAGCAGGAAACAGATATTTCCATTAAATGTGTGGCATAAACCGTGCACATACAGAACCAAGATTTAAAGCACATGAAGCATTACTTAACATTAGCTTTAGCTAGCATTCTCTTGGGGAATCTCAGAGGACTTCACCAACAGCAAGCCTGATGCCCGATGTAGAGAGGGCACGACGAATCATTTCATGACAAGGAGCAACAAGAAAAGGTGGTGCCTTTTCAAAATCTGAACAGAGCTGGAACTGGAATGCAGACACGTCAGTCCTCAGCCATGTCCTTTAAAACACCAGTTCCCAACAAGTGAAAACGCTGCAGCAATGTAAGGAAGGGGGTAAAGGGGAAGTAGCAGTCTAAGGGAGCTATTTCTTCAGGAGTGGCAAGGCAGAGAAAGCGGTGGCAGCGAGGCTTGCCCAAGAAAGTGTGGAAGAATCCGATCTGGAAGGTAATGCTCTAGTTGCCCTCACTGGAGGCACAAAACCTTTAACTCTGTGTGAGGCTGAGAAGCTCTCCTCAGCAGATCGCCCGCATTAGTCACGGAGGATGTTAGCGCCAGCTCAAACAGCCATCTAACAGCTTACCTCGCTCCCTGTGAAGCTGCAGGGTGGCAGGGCTGGCAGTCCTCCCTCCGGAGCAGACGGCAAGTTACCAAAATGGGATTTTGCTAGATCAAGCAGCTCATCGTGAGAGACACCTGAACAAAGGGGGTTCGCATACGCTTTAACGGTACTCTGTAAACAGTTCGTGTATTGTTGTGCAATCTAGTCTTAACTAAGTAGTAATTTATGGTTCCCCTGTCTCAAAAATGGCACTTTCAGATTCCTCACTTCCGTTACTGTGCAGAATAAGATTATCATGATCACCTTCCTCAATTCTCTCCAATAGCCTTCTATCAGCATTACACCAAATCGAGCTCTTTGTTCTCCAATTCCAGCCTCAGTATTATCCCCTCTCTCTCCTCCTCTCTGGTTTTTTTTCTGCTCCCTTATTTGTGCTGAGCTCTAGGCCCTTCTTTTCTTGCCCACGTGGAAGAACGACCTTGCCCTCCTCACTCGTAGTTATTGGTTTAGAACATGCTGAACTAACGATGAACTTCCAGGACCTAGTGAAGAATGGGTAAATCATAGTGTCGTTCCTGGAAACTTAACAGACCTTGGTTTTAAACGTAGCTTCACATGATCCAGGGTGACTGTCTCATACTAACCTCCAGCAGCAGCCAGAACTATTCTGGGTCCTTTATAATGTGTTGTTATATACTCCACCAAGTCATTACGGTTTATGGATCTAAAAATAGTCCAAGAAAACAGAAAAAAGTCACTACAGTGACACTACAGTGTCAGTAGAATTTATTACAGAAAGAAGAGATGATAGATGTACGGAACAACATACCAGAATAATTTTAAACTCTGCCAATGCACAGAGTGTGCATGCAGGCAGACTGCTAGCATAAGAGTGACATCCTAAAAAGCAAATAGAAACTTGATCCATTTGGTCTTCCAAAGGTCTTAGTGCTTCCCCCAAAGGAGCGAGAAGTACAGCTGTGCTCCCTGTTGAACTCATTCAGGTGGAGACAGTATCCACTGCTGATCTCATGCCAGTTTTAAAACACATTTAGCAGTCTCCTGGTCTGCACTGGTATAAACAAGAGCTGAATGAGCAGTGTAGACAGTTTTATTTATGGTACTGCCTGACACCTGACTGATGGGGGAAAAAGAAAGTGTTTCTAATTTTGTGGCAGATGCATTTTTAACAAACAAAAGAAAAACGTGGCAAATAATGGAGACATGCAGTAGATATCTAAAGTTCACATACCCTTCGATGCCTACATAAAGGGGGATTAAGGCAATAGGGAAATTCTTCTCAAGAGTTAGATCCCGTGCAACTTTGACTACCTTCCAGGATAAAAATAATATCTGAAGTTGTTCCCTACATTTTCAGAGGAGTCTTTGAAATACAGGAAAGTTACCACACAATTAAAAGTAGCCACGTTTGGACATACTTGATGTTCTCAGTGGGTCCTAAAATCGTTCGTCCCAGGGCTGTTTTCTGATAGGCCGTAGCGTGAAGGTAATCAAAGACGACTTCCTGTAAATTGGTTTCAACTTCCTGCATCTCTCGAAGTATGACTCCTCGCTCACGCTCAATCTCTGCTTCTCCCAGGGTACTGTTCTGAATTATATCAGCAAGAATTTCCACAGCTAATTGAAAATAGAGATGGTGTATTTTCAGACTACTAGAAAAATTTGATTCCAAAAGTAAAACCCACCCCTGAAGCCCAGATGACCCAAGATTAGATAAGAAGTTCATTTTGGAGTTTTAAAGAAAATTATCTAGAAGGATGCTAAAAATGCTAAAGTTTTTCTTCAGAGGGGTTAAGAGACTTGCTCTGCAGACGGGAGAAGCCGAAAGGATATTTTCTTTTGGAGATCTAACAGACAAAGATGTTTCAAATATCAGCTTCACTGCTGGCATGCTCCTGCATTCTGACATTTCCTGTGAAGTTCAAGACAGGACTTCTTCTCCGTTAAGGAAGGGACTGTTACAATGAAAAATCATCATTCTCCTGCATTACCTGATCTGAGGAGCTGAGTAAGCATTTCATGCTTTGCTGCTTTTCTGATGAATGAAAACAATTACCTCTTGGTAAATCTTTGGAAAAAGCCTTTGCATAATACACTGTTTGTTCCCTGGATGTATAGGCGTTCAGGTGAGCTCCCATGTTCTCAATCTCTAGTTCAAGGTCTAATTGAGATCTCTTTTTTGTCCCCTGAAATAGAAGGATAAGAAAGTCAAAGTAAACCCTTGAATTCACCTTCCATTATTACTACTCCTTGTCTACAAAAGTTAAGGCCACAACCAAAAAAAACAAAAAAGTCTTCTGGAAGGAAAACTGGCACGTTAATCTCTCCAAACAGGAAAGTCAGATATAAAACTTACTACGCTCCCAAATAAAAATAAAAAGCTGGCAAAAGAGGGGCTATGGGTCTTCTAAGAATATTCAAACAAGTTAAAGTGACTTAAAATTAGACCTGTGCTACTAATTCACAGTTGTGTTTCAGCAAGGCAAGGACTTTATCTTCTCTCTCTAACTGGAATCAACATCTAAGCTGTTTCCTCTTTTCTTGATTTGAAAAATTTATTTAGAGGATTCTGATAAGAGTTCTTATCGTTGATCTTTACAGACCAATAACTCAGAAATTCATTTTAAATTTGCAAAATCAATACTCATACTTGCCTTGAAAGCCATATGCTCCAGAAAGTGAGCCGTTCCATTGTTCTTCTCATTTTCATACCTGCTTCCAGCATCAATCCAAAGTCCAACCTCATTGGAGAAAAACAAAACAAAACCAAAAAAAACCCAAAACTTACTATCTGGTAATGCAGCTTTGCTCTTTTTCCTATACGAATTACACTTTGATTTTCAAGACCTATTTTGTAATGGCTTTTCCCTTAAAGAAATGAGATTTTCAGGAAAAAAATTCCAATCCTTACAAAAATCTAATCACAAATCCTTTACTTAAGCCTTAAGACTCCCACTTCCCAGCTTATTTTTTAAGAGCAATTGTTAGCAAAAATTGAAAGCATTCCACTTAATTTCACAAGGAGATGGAAATACATGAATACAGTTATGAAAAATAGTCTCATTACAAGTTACACCTACTGTGCATGTTGAGAGTCCAGAGTCTTCAGAAGCCACTTGCAAGCCATTTTCCAGAGGAGACACCCTAGTTTCAGGAACATTTAAGACTACTTTTGTTGCTGCCTTGGAAGCTCTGAACCTGCCTGTTCCAATATGTACACGCTGTAAGGAAAAAGCACCTGTTACGTTCAGATTGTAAGTTATATCCTAGCAAAATCTTCTGGAAAATGCATTTCTGAACTTAAACGTAAGTACTGGATTTTTTTTTTTTTTAAGCATGCATTTAAGGAAAAAATTTAAAAAAAATTTTAAGCTAAGAGATTTATTCACCACTACTTCACGTTAGGGATGCCTTAACTTCACTCAGAAGAAAACATGAAGGGAATTAAAAAGGAGCAGACTGCATCTATTTCCCTCCAACAAAACGATCTGACTGAAAAACATCATCACCCAGCCATCCCGAGAGTCACACTCCAGTTCTGCCAGTAAGAGCCTGCGTGACCTCAGGTATGTCCCTTAGCATCTGAAAACCTTTGGAGTACCTGGTACCTAAAGCAAAATTAGATATAGTTCAAGGTCCTACGCGAGGACTGCAAACTGCAGCCACCCTTTGTTCAAATAAGGGCCACAACTGAAGCTGTCAGCTTTTACAAAATCATCTGACAGTTAAAGCACATTAATCCAAAATGGAGTGGGAGAGAAGGGGAGAGGGTTAAAAAGTGTATTGATGTCGAAAATGAGCAATACATTTAAATTTGTATTCCAAATGAGTATTTCAAGCAATAAGCTATTCCAAAAAAATTATTATTTTAAATGCATGAAATAAACAAAGATTCCCCTCACTTTGTGACTGTTCTAAACCTGAAAGTAGAGAATCCAGTTCTCAACTGCCAAGGTTCGGAGGTAGGACACTGCCGCTGAATCCCAATAAACTAGGTCTCTCAAAACTGAGGTAAGTATAGCAGGTAAGGATAATTCAGGTTGGAAGGGGCTTCAGGAGGTCTCTAGTCCAACCTCCTGCTCACAGCAGGGTCAGCTACAGGGTCAGACTAGGTTGCTCAGGGTTTTGTCCAGCTGAGTCTTGAAAACCACCCAGGATGGAGAGAGGCTGCACAACCTAACCTGACTGGCCTCATGGTAAAAAAAGCTTTTCCTTATATCTACTTTGAAGCTCTCTGTTAGGCCCCCGCAAAGCCATCTCTTCTCTGGGCTGAACAAGCCCAGCTCCTTCAGCCTCTCCTCACAGGGCAAGCGCTCCAGCCCCGAACAACTTCACGGTCCTCTGCTGCGCTCGCTCCGGTTTGTCGATGCCCACCCCACCCTGGGCAGCACGAGGCTGGATGCCGTAGTCTAAAGGCGGCCTAGCGAGGGCTGAATCGAGGGGTATCGTCAGGTCCTCAGGCTGCCGGCTCTGCCGCTGTCCGTCTGTCCCGGGAGCTGCCAGGGAACATGGCTTGCCACCCACCAGCACCCCCAGGGTCTTTCCTGCAGAGCTGCTCCCGGCCAGTCAGTTGCACTGACTGCACTGTTGCAAGGGGTCATCTCCTCTATTAGATTACGTTACAAAGAAGGGAAACCAGGACATCCTCTCACTCTACTTGTGTCTGAAAATAAAATATCCTCTTCCTGTTTTTAGAAGACAGAAAAGCTTAGTTTGCCAATCGAGAGGGCAGGGGAAAGCGACCGAGGAGGAGAGCTCTGCGATCAGGGCCCCCGGCCTCTGAACAGCCCAGGGCAGCAGCGTTTAAGCTTCCTCCGAGCCGGCCTTCGGTGAGCAGGGCAGGCCCCTCGTCCAGCGCGCGGGGGGACGTCGCCGCCTCTCCGAGGCATCACACGGCCGT